TGTCACCTGAAATGACAAAGAAAGAAATCCCATGTCCGCTGCCTTCCCACATAGAGTAGTAGCAATAACAAGCCACGTTTATACGATGCATCAAGGTTTGTAAAGCACGTTACTCCTAACAGGTAGAGTAAGGATTAACGTCATCTCTGTTTTACTGACAAGGGAACCTCGGGCCAGCAGAAGTGTCCTGGCCCCACTCTGCTATACTCCCCCTCCAGAGAGGCCCAGGTCCATGTTGCATACACTATCAGATGCAGTTCATATGGCATAACAGTTTTTCACCTAGCTGCGCCATTCCTAGATCTTTTGAAGAATTGGTAAACAATTTGCAGATCAATAAATATTTGCAGTGGCTCTGTTTGGGAACCCCAGGAAATAATGATAATGATGATAAACCTTCTCCACTAGAGTCCTTGTCTAATACATCATTGTAGTGGGGAGGTGATCCTGGGTGCTCAGTGGACTGCAAGCTTTGGCAGGTCTCACCAAGTTTGATGTGTCTTTCCTTGGAGGACCAGCATAGTTAAATGTGGAGAGGCTCATTTCTAGATGGATTTTTCAGCCATGACAACTCACAAGGCCATTTAAGGGGTGCAAGGGTCAATATATGAAAGAGTTCATCAACTTCTTAAATTTGCTTCACTCTGTACATCTAATTTCTTGTACATTGTAGCTATTTAGTTTTGTTCTTATATTTGTTACTATTGCCAGATGAGGAAGCCAAGATGCAGAGTATGGATTGCTGGAGGCGTCACCTCTGCATAGAGTGCCCTCTGAGTGGGCTCCAGCTGCCTCCATTCATGTCACTGAGCCCTGAAACAAGAGTGTCTTACTGGCCTGGGGATAATCCCCTGGGTCTGTCCTGGCACCAATGGCAGAGCGCAAGAAGGCAGGGTCCCAGAGGATTTCAGCGCCATAGCAGAAAGAGCACCATACTTACCAAGCCAATTTGTTGGGGCCCCAGTTTGTCATCTGCTACCTTGAAGAAAGAGAATCTATTGAATGGGGGCTACCCAAGTCATTCCAAACTCACAATGGCACCCAGCCACCCACAGAGTTATCACAGTTATCAACAGACAAGCACCAGAACAAAGACTTTACCCCCACAATCTCATCTGAACCACACAACAACCCAAAGTAGCAGAGGTATTATGGCCCCCAGTTTTTACAGAGGAGGGAAAGAGGCCCAGAAAGGGAAAGTGATCTGCCCAAGTAGTCAGAGGTGGGATCTGAACCCCTGAGGTCATCCTGACTCCAAGGCCAGAACTGCACCCCACTACCTCTCAATATTCTACGCAGAGCACTTTGGAGCCCTTCAAACACTATGAAAAATTTGCTATTTTCACGACAATATCATATTATACCAATTACATAATTATGTCATCATCATCATTGTAACAACTCACATTTTTTTTTTAGGTGATTGGGGTTAAGTGACTTGCCCAGGGTCACACAGCTAGTAAGTGTGAAGTGTTTGATCTGAGGCTGGATTTGAACTCAGGTCTTCCTGACTTCAGGGCCAGTGCTCTATCCACTGCGCCACCTAGCTGCCGCCCACATTTTTCTCTAAGGAGCTTTTAGCTGGATGATTGAACTTGCATCCATAGCATTCAGTGTGAAGGCCTTTAAAGTTTCCCAAGTATTCTGCTCATACCTTTCCCCCACTGCCCCTCTCTGGGCCAGCTCAGCTGTGTAGACAGGTATAATAGGCATTTCATAGTTGAGGAAAGCAGACGGAGTTACTTGTCCAGCATCACACAGAGAAAGTAATAGGGATATGGGGCCTCCTCACACGCCATCTAGTACAATGCCCAGATCTGCCAGATGAGTCTGGGTTTGGTCCTAGAATAAGACATTTAGGGCTGGAACGTCACTGAGTTCAACCCCCTCATTTCACAGATGAGGGAGCTAAGGTCTTGAGAGGCGAGGTGACTTACTAAGTGTATAAAGCAAGACTGAGACCCAGGCCTTCTTCATTCCACCATACCAAGCCACTTCATATTATCTTTATTATTAGTCACATGGAGACACCAAAGAAACGGAGTACCCTGAGTCCAGTACAAGGCAGGATGAGCTAAGGCCTCAGAGTGGGGACATGCTGGGGACAAAGAGCTAAGCCAACTCATGGGGAGCAGGGATCAGACCACACAGCAGGAGGGGACAATGGCTCACCTGGGTCGTGGTTCTCTGGAGTGATGATTCCATCTGGGGCAATGGGTGGCACTAAAGGAGGAGAAAGGGACCATGGATGAGGTCAGGCTTTCTCTTTGACTCCTTTTTTTTTTTTTTTTTTTTTTTTGCTTTTTGGTGAGGCAATTGGGGTTAAGTGACTTGCCTAGGGTCACACAACTAGTGTTAAGTGTCTGAGGCTGGATTTGAACTCAGGTCCTCCTGACTCCAAGTCCAGAGCTCTATTCACTGCGCCACCTAGCTGCCCCTCTTTGACTCCTTCATTAAGCGTGCTCCCTCTCATGCTAGGCAATGGGGGGATGCAGAAAGAGCCACCATACTCTTACTTTGGAAAAAATGATCCAACTGGGCCTTCTGGGAATGGAACATTTTTTGCTAGGCACACACCTGGGGAGCAGCTGTGGGCTCCAGATTAAAGGGATCCTTGACTGCAGAAGGGAAGGGATTTCTCACTGAGGTAGGGGGGCAGGCACACTTGTATCTGTACCCTATCTCCCCTGACTAGACTGCGAGCTCACTGAGGAGAGAGACCCTATCTGATTTCTGACTGTATCTCATCAGGGCCCAGCAGGAGGCAAGCAAGGAATACTTGTTGAATGGAAAAACAGGGATTTCTCTTACTTAGGCATCAATCTGAGCTTTTACTTCTCTGCTCTAATCAGCTCAGTGGCTCCCTAATGTTCCTGGGCAAGTCACTTCCCTTCCATGGACCCCCATTTTCATGGTTTTGGACTAAATGATCTCTAATTATTAATTCTGTTCTATTATTACACTGCAGGAAATGACAAAGGATGGTTTTGGAGAAACCTAGGAAGACCTTATGAACTGATGCAGAGTGAGGCGAGCAGAACCAGGAGGACAACTTTTACAACAACAACAAAGAACTTTGAGAGTCAGACACTCTGCTCAACACAATAACCAAGCAGCACTCCAGGGGACCCATGATGAAGCCGGCTGCCCACCTCTGGAGACGTTCAGAAGGAGACAGGACAGTTTGCGGCAATCACTGGTATGTTTTGCTTGACTATGCATATTGGTTACGAGGGTTTTGCTCTTTTTTCCCAATAGTAGGAGTGGGTAGGAAAGAGACTAATCGAAAAAACACAACTTCAAGAAAATTTTTAGAAAAGAAAAACAACTTCCCCACTCCCATTTCTCTACCACTTTAAGGTTTGCAAGGCACCTTCCTAAGTAAAGCCCTGTGAGGCAACTAGGGGAAATACTGTTATCTCCATTTGTAGATGAGGAAATTAAGGTCTGGGAAGGCAAGGGGCTTATTGCAGATTGGAATGCTAAATAACAAAGAGGAAACATTTCCTTCTTTGCCTTCCCTAATGGATCCTTGTAAGCAAAAGATTGGTGCCAATTCATGTACTTTTGGAAGGAAAACCAGGCTTGCTGAGACATATGTGATATATCCAGACCTATCCTTTTGGCCTGAGACCTAATTAGCTCTAGGGCTGAGTGCAACAAAGGCACTCAGGGATAAAGGCATAGAGAGTTCCAACTCGAGTATCCTATTTGAAGGGGCGGAGCCAAGATGGTGGAGGGAAAGCAGTGACTTGTTAGAGCTCTCCCTCAAACCCCTCCAAATACCTATAAAAATGGCTCTAAACAAATTCTAAAGCAGCAGAACTCACACAAAAACAAATTTCCAGCCCAAGACAACCTAGATGGCTAATCAGAAAGGTATATCGCGCCGGGCTGGGAGAGGAGTGCAGTTTGGCATGGGCGCACAGGCCGCAGCTTACCTGGAGCAGGCCTCAGAGGACTGAATCGCAGGCAGCTGTGGCGGCTTCCAGACTTCTCAACCCATGAATGCCAAAGACAACTTAGAAGGTCAGTGGGAAAAGTCTATGACTGTGGTGAGAGAAGAAGCTAGGTCTCAGCCCCCCAGCCCCCCCGCCCCGGCCAGCGGCTGCCTCCTGAGGGGGAATCAAGTGGCTGATCAGAGGGGGCTTGCAAGGATCTCTTTGCCAGGGCTGAGGCAGGAATCTCTTGCTTTGCCCGTGCTTGGATCTGGGTCGCAGTTCTGAGGGGTGGTCCTGGGGCGAGGAGGAGTGCTGGTGTGGTGGAGCTTGTTGTGGCGGTGGAGAGGAAACACCTCACCCCTTATCATACCACCTTGGAAGAACTGAAAATTTACAGGTCCCTAGAAGTATCTCTAAAAACAGCTGTACAAACCCCCGAAGCTTGGGACAGTACATTCTCCACATTGGAAGCAGACTTTTACCTTAACAAAGACTTTAAAACTCAAGTAATTGGCCAGGATCATGAGTAAGCAGTGCAAAAAGAGTCAGACTATATTATCTTACTTTGGTGACAAAGAAGATCAAAACATACAACCAGAAGAAGGCAATGAAGTCAAAGCTCCTACATCCAAAGCCTCCAAGAAGAATATGAATCAGTCCCAGGCCTTGGAAGAACTCAAAAGGGATTTTGAAAAGCAAGTAAGAGAAGTAGAGCAAAAATTGAGAGTTTTGCAAGAAAACTTTAAACACATGTTTAAAAAAAAATGTTTTGACATGCAACTGGGAAATAAGAAATACAGGAAATGGGGTACAGAAATCTATCCTGCCCTACAGGAAAATAGAAGGGGGGAGAGATAGCAGGGAAAGCAGACTAGGGGAAGGGGTATTCAGAATGCATGCCATCTCAGGGTTGGGGGAGGGGCGAGATGGGGCAAAAATTTGGAACTCAAAATCTTGTGGAAGTAAATGTTGAAAATTAAAAATTGAAAAAAAATTGAAAAAAATAAAATTAAAAAAAATTTTTAAAAAAAGAGTATCCTATTTGAAGAAAGGAAGCATGTTTATCAGAGTAAATTAACTGAGATCTTTCCTAGACCAAGAGATATAAAAAGAGGAGAGTGCAGCTACTTCTTGGCCTCTAAGGTGTTTGCCTTGGATTTGTGCTCTAGCACCCACAGGAGGACTCTTTTATCTGGTCTCTTTATCAGTATCCTGATGAGTGGCACGAAACTAGCAGCTCAGTTCACAGATTGCCCATGTTTATTATTCGAATAGGGCTCACAACAATGATTTTTCTGGTGTGAATTTTCTGATGATTAAGAAGGTTCCCTTTTTGGCTGAAGGCTTTCCCACATTCATTACATTCATAGGGCTTCTCTCCACTGTGAATCCTATGGTGTTTTATTAGGATTGAGCCCTGAGTGAAAGATTTCCCACATATATTACATTCGTAAGGCCTCTCTCCACTGTGGATTCTCTTGTGGTTAATAAGGTTCGAGCTCCAGGTGAAAGTTTTCCCACACACATTACATTCGTAAGGCTTCTCTCCTCTATGGATTCTCTTATGGTTAGTCAGATCTGAGCTCTGACTGAAGGCTTTCCCGCATTCATTACATACGTAAGGCTTCTCTCCACTGTGAATTCGAAGGTGGAGGACGAGCATTGATTTCCACCGGAAGGCTTTCCCACATTCATCACATTCATAGGACTTCTCTCCATGAGGGACAGTCTGATTTCTGGGAAGCTCCGACTTTTGCCTAATATTGCAATTCTGGGCCTCCCCACTCCGGCCACCCTCTCTGGCAGGCTCTGCTTCTTGACATTTGTTTTCCAAAACAAGATTTTCTGATAGACCTCTGGCTATGGAGATTGGCCTAAGAGCACTAGCCACGTGCCAGAAGGTGGTCCTGTTCATGTTGTCCTGTTGGCCTTGGGTAAACAACCGTCCTTGTGAAATCCCATCTTGGGGAATACCTGGCTTTGGCATAGACTCTTTGCTGTCAGTCCTGCCATCTGAAATGACAAAGAAAAGGAGTGTACGTCATCAAGATTCCTGGGCTGATGTGCGTAAGGGGTGAGTACATGGAGAGAAGTACATGACTTTCCCCAATTTTCCACTGGTAAATGGATGCCTTTCCAATTTAGGTGGGAAAGGAAGGAGGAAAGGTGAGCTCCAAAACAAGGAGCAGGGGGAGGAGTGTCAAAGCAAAAGGACTTATCACTCCACAGCAATCATCAGTAATGATAATTCCCATTTTCCAGTTGAGGATCAGATAGGTTCAGTGACTTGCCCAAGGTCGCACAGCAGGAGCCATGACTTGGATAAAGGTCACAGGCTTTAAGGCTGGAAGGGACCTCAGAGGTCATTTTGTGCAATCCTCTCCTTTTACTGCTGGGAAAATCGAAGTCCAGGAGGTTCAGTGATTTGCCTAAGTCCACATGGCAAGTAAGTGGCAGAGCCCAGATTCAACAAGAATGACCAAGTCAGAAGAGGTGATAAGGAGGAAGAAAAGGGAAAAAGAGACAAGGGGCCTGAGGTAAAGACCTCAGGAATAGCGAGTAGAGGCTGAGGGGAACGAGGCCCTCATTTACTGGCACCTGCCTTTGGTTCTAGCTCCCTGCTCACCTGGCCAAGTGCCTCTCCTGGCCTCAATGGCCTCTGTCCCCTGAAGATCCAGAGTCCACAGCATCTGTCCTCGTTCCAGCTGCGAGATCAGATAAGGCTTGGGGCCTGTAAACCCTGCCCGAGTGGAAGGAAGGCAGACAGTTGATTTGAATTGGGGATACAGAGCGGTCTAGCTAGAACATAGGCCCAGTCCCTGGGGCAAGGCCGGGAGCACCCTGGGAGAGAAGGAAAATACCCATAAATGCCATCTGAGGCAAGGTCAAGAGGGATGGGCAGGAGCCTCTCAAATGTGTTCCCAGCAACTGGGAGTCTGGGGGCTGATAATCTGGGAACAGAAGAACCATTAGTAATCTGCCCTCCTCCTGCTAGGAGAAAGGTAGGCAACTCTCAGGGGCAAAAGCGTGTGTGTGCAGGGCCCTGGGCACTTAGTGTCTAGTCGGGGGAAGCTGGACAGGGTCTCCTCTATGGGGTTCTGCGGGTAAGGAAGACCGTGCTTCCCGGAGTAACATCAAGTTAACATTTACTGAGCATCTACCTGTGGTTAGTGCCCGGGGATACGGAAGGAGGCTCCTACCCTCCAGGAGCTCCCAGTCTCATGGGGATACAAGACCAGGCAAATAGGTACAAAGCAAGCTCTAGGCAGGAGAAATTAGGGGCAGTCTCAGAGCGAAGGCACTGGGATTAGAGGACACAGGGAAAGGTTTCTAGCTGAGAGTGGAAACAGGAGGCAGAGATGAGGAGGAGGGCACCCTGAGCATGGAGGGTTTCACTACCAATGAAAAGGCACAGGGTAGGGTGAGCTTAGAATGTTGTATACAAAGAACAGCCAGGAGGCCAGAGTCACTGGATCAGAGAGTGCATGGCGGGGAATGAGGTGTAAGAAGAATGAAAAGGGAGGAGGGGCCCGGGTTATGAACGGTTCTGAATGCCTAACTACATTTTATATTTGATCCTGGAGGCACTAGGGAGCCACAGGAGTTAACTGAGTAGGGGAGTGAATGGCCTGGTCAGACCTGTGCTTTAAAACAATCACTCTGACTTACTCGGGCTGATGCAAAGTGCAACATACTGTGTACAAAGTAACAGCAGTATTGTGCAATGACCCGCTGAGAAAGACTTAGCTCTTCTCAGCAGTGCAATGATCCAAGACAACTCTGAAGGACTCATGATGAAAAAAGCTATCTCTCCCCAGACAGAGAACTGATGGAGTCTGAAGGCAGACTGAAGCAGACTCCTTTTTACTTTCCTTATTTTTCTTGGGGGTTATTTTTTTGGTCTATGTTTTCTTTCATAACATGGCTATTATGGAAATGTGTTTTGCATGACTACCCATGTATAACCTTATCGAACTGCTTGTCTTCTCAATGGGGTGTGGGGAGGGAGGAAGGAAGAGAATTTGGAACTCAAAGTTTTAAAAATGAATGTTAAAAATTGTTTTTACATGTTAACTGGGGAAAAATAAAATGCAAAAAAAGACAATCACTTTAGTAGCTGAATGGAGGATGTACTGGAGTGGAGAGAGGCTTGAGGCCGGCAGCCCCACCAGCAGCTATTACAGCAATCCAGGCATGAAAAGATAAGGGTCTGCAACAGGGTGGGGGCCCCAGGGTGTCAGAGCAGAGAGAGGTTTCTTTTTTTCTTAGGCAGTTGGGGTTAAGTGACTTGCCCAGGGTCACACAGCTAGTAAGTGTCAAGTGTTTGGTCTGAGGCTGGATTTGAACTCAGGTCCTCCTGATCAGGGCTGGTGCTCTATCCACTGTGCCACCTAGCGGCCCTGAGAGAGAGGTTTCAAGGTAGGATCAATAGGCTTTGGCAAAAGGTTGGATATGGGGGGTGAGAGAGAGTGAGGAGTCCAGGATGACCCTTAGGTCATCTTGGGTGATTGGGAAGAGAGTGGTACCCTCAACACCAACAGGAAAGGAAGGAAGAAAGGAAGGCTTGGGGGAGATGTAGAGTTTGAGATATTTAGGGGACATTCACTTCAAGATGTCCAAGAGGCAGCTGGAAATGGGAAACTGAGGTCAGCAGAGCACTTAGGGCTAGACAAATGAGATCCAAGATTCATCTGCATCGAGGTAATAACTGAATCCATGGGAGCCGATGAGACCATCAAGTGAAAGAGTATAGGGAGACAAGAGAAGGGCCAGACCAAGGGCTTGGGAAACCCCAGAGTCATCGAGTACAAGCTGGAGGGAGATCTGGCAAAGGGGACTGAGAAGGAGCAGTCAGAGAGGGAGGGGAGAACCAGGAGACCTAGAGAGAAGCGAGTCTAGAGGAGGGCAGAGTGACCAGCAGTGCCCAAGGCTGCTGTGGGGTCAAGGATGACGATTGACAAAGGGCCATGAGATTTGGCAGTTAGGAGATTATTGGTAACTTTAGAGAGAGCAGTTTCAGGTAAGTGATGAAGTCAGAGGCCAGATGGCAGAGAGTTAAGAGAGTGAGAGGAGAAAGGAAGTGAAGGCACCAGTTGTAGGAAATTAGCCACAAAAGGGAGAGGAGATATGGGATGGTAGCCAGTGGGGATGGACAGAGAAGTGAGTTTTTTTGAGCATGGGGGAGACATGGCATGTTTGTGGGCAGCAAGGAAGCAGCCGTAGACAGGGAAAGACTGAAGACAAATGAGAGAGTAGGGATGATAGAAGGGGCCATCTGTTGCAGGAAATGGCATGGAACAGGATCAGTTGTGCAGGTGGTGGGTTTGCCTTGGCAAAGAGAAGGGCCATCTCTTTGTAGGAAATGGGGATGGAGGAGGAGCTGAAAGGAGCAATCTGTTTTTGTAACTGCCCACTAGCCAAGACCTTCCTTAGCTAGGCTCTTCAAATGTCTCTAGTTGATGATTACTTCAAACTCTCATGATAATAAGTCTAATAAAGGGCTGAGATGCCAGAAAGACGGAACAGACCAATCAGTTCCAGAATGATTGAAATCAGTTCATGGGCACTGGTGTTCTTGGAGGTTAGAGACATGAATGACATGAGGACCATGGACAGTACAAGCGTAGGCCTTTGGCCCGATGTTCCCCCAGCCTGCCCTCTCTGGCCACTGGACGACCATAGGCTTCACTGCGCCCATTGCTGTTTTCATGTTCATAGCTGGGAACAACTGTGGGAGTCAAGTGAACCCCAGATCTGGGATGTCAGAGCGTGCATACTTGCCTAGTGAGGCTGCATTCCCATAATTCTCCAGCATCACTTCCCTATACAGGGCCCTCTGAGCAGGGTCCAGTCGCCTCCATTCTTCCCATGTGAAGTAAACAGCCACATCTTCAAAGGTCATCGATGCTTCCTAAAACAACAAGGTCGATTTCCCAGCTCTGTTCAGGGGTGGGTGGCATGAGGCAGCCGAGGGGCTGGGCAGAGGTGGCAGGCTGGGGGGTCTATGGGTAGGCATGAGGAAGGCGACAGAGTGAGAGGAGCATGAGGCACAGGAAAGAGACCTTGGCCAAGAGCCAGGAGAGGCGGATTCCACGAGTCCTCCTTCTAGGTCCCTGTTCCCAACCCCCACCTCAGTTTCCTTACATAGCAAATGATGGAAGAGAGGCTCTCTAAGGGGCAGTAGGGTGGAGTGGACAGAAAGGACACTGGACTCGGAGCCAAGAGACTGAGATCTGACACTTGCTGTGTGATCTTGGGCAAGTCCCTTTATCTTTCTAAGCCTTACTTTCCTCATCTATAAAATGGGGATAATAATATTTGAATGAATTACCTCAAGGGGATTTTCTGCGGGAAGAGCTTTATAAAGCTTTAGAACATAAAGAATTCTAATGTAATCCCTGAGAGTCTATGATGCAACAGGGTTCTGGTCCTGCTTCTGCCCCCAACAAGTCCCTTGCCTGCCCTAGGCCTCAATTTCCTAGTCTGTAAAATGAAGGGGTCAGATTTGTAGCTCTGAAATTCTTGGATTCTCTTAGTCTGGAGACTTACATTTTCCTCCTCTTTTACGAATTTGCTGACTGGCATCAGACATCAGCCACCCCACCTCCCTTTGGGGTACCTCTGCTGCTTTACAAACAACTAAAATAAGACTAATAATCCCTGCCCTGTGGCCCTGTGGGCCTGCCTCCCTTCTCCCAGGTACATTTCGAGGGTTAAAGTGAATTGTTCAACAAACATTTATTCAGGACCTTGTATGTCCAAGGCATTGGAGAAGCCTCCCCCTGGGGGATGACAAATACTGTTGGCATGATACAAGATAGAGGTACAGGGGTCAAGAACAGAACAGGATGCACGAGGGAAAGAGACAGGACAAGGAGTTAACAATTCAAGTAGAATGCTGAAATGGAATACTCCGGCCAGGGGGTGGGAGCAACTTTGTCCCCATGGGGGGGGGGTTATGTGACAAGAAGCCGAAGGGGATGAAAGGGCCTCCAAGAGGGCGGAATGCAATGTGGCTTAGCCCCTTGGCTGGGAAGGACAAGGGAGCCCCAGCTTACCTGGAGGCCATGTACTGCCTGGCTTCTTCTGCTGCTTTTCAGAAGCTGGGCTGCAGGTGGCGCTAGGTGAGGAGAAAGGTGCAGAGAGAAGACCACACCTCTAGTGGTGCTTCTGTTACCCAAGAGAACAGAAATTGCCCTCCCTGCTCCCCCATCCCCTTTTCCAGCCCTGTACCTCCTTAAATGCAGTTGGTGGGGGGAAACCTGTCCCTCTTCTACTCAAGGATTTACCCACCTCTTTCTTACCCTAATACAGCTTTCAAGGCCCTCCAAAATCTGGTATCTCAAAATCCCTTTCGAGCCTTCTCCTGCATTACACCCCATCACACACTCTATGCTCAGGCCAGAACGTGCAGCTCTCTGCACCCCCAAGCCCACTCCACCAAGCTTCTCTTCCTGCCATGTCCTGGCCTTTGTCCAGCTGCAATGTTCTTCTCCCCTTTCCTAATGACTTCCTTCCCCCCTTCTAAAGCACAATTTCGATCAAACACTATCCTCCCAACAGTCTGCCTGGCTTCACCAGCAGGGGGCGAACCACATCCCTTTCAGTCTTGACATAATGCTTTGTTTACATGGATTTAATACGAATGTCACGTAATAGTAGGTTCTCTATTTGGGTTGCTGTTTTATCCCCCATTAGACCGTCACCTCTCTGGGGGAAGAGGCTGAGCCTGGGACTGGGGGAGGGGGGAGTAGACTCTCCTCCTGCTGAGCTGTCCTATCTCTAACTGGACCAAGGCCATGGTGCACATAATAACAACAATAGTGCATACATATGTTATCTCCTTCGATTCTCACAACAACCAGGTGAGGCACTGCTGTTATTGTCCCCATTTTATAGAAGAGTGACCCAAGGCAGACAGAGGTGAAGTGACTGGCCCAGGGTCGTACAGGTACTGAGTGTTTGGGACAGGATTTAAATTTAGGCCTTCCTGACTACAGGCTCAGCACTCTATCCACTGTGCCATCTAGGTGGAAACTCAGCCCACATTATCTAGCTTGTCCTCAAATCACGTATCACATGCTCTCCAGCCATGCGGCAGGGCCGATGGCCCAGGTAGGCCCATTCACAGGCCTCAACCTCTATTCTATTCTCTGGCTCGATTCTCCATCCCTGATCAAAACATCCTCCCTGGCTTCCCCTCTGCACCCCCACCCACCCCGTCTAAGCTCAGTGGAGGGTGCACACACACACACACACACACACTACCTCACTTTGTTTCTGTATCTCCCCCCTCCCCTGGGCCTAGCACAGCACCCAGCACATAGTAGGTGCTGAGTCAATGCTTCTTGGTTGATGATCTAAACTTTGCACAGAAGAGATGTTTAATAAACATTTGTTAAATGAATGAATGAATGAACGCATGTACTCAGGAAGACCAGTCTAACCTGGGAAACTGGGAATCACTGAGACCACATAATCTTCTTTTTAAAGTTAAACTTTATTCTTTCAGTTACCAAGCATTTACTTTTTCTCCACCCCTAGTGAAAAGCTGCAAAAATTTGGGGAACCTCTGGCCCCAGGAAGCTTGGGGTTTGTGGGGTAAATGAGAGTCATCAGGGCACACAGCCCACCAGCAGATCATCAGCACCTTGAGAGGCAGGTCTGTGTCTTGTCCCCAGCATCATACCTTAAACATAGTAGGCACTTAAGAAATGCTTGAACTGAAATGAATCTGTTGACTAAAGAGGGATTTTTGTGGCCAGTATGGGGAGAAGTGTGATCGATTTACCCACGAGCAAGCAGCTGTAAAGGGCCTCTTTCTGGGATACTCGCCTGGGGCCTGCAGACTGACCTTCTTATCTGGAGAGACCTTAGGCTTAGCAGAAGGCCCACCTGCCACTTGCCCTGTCCAACCATGTCCGAGTGGGTCTGGGTCCGTAGTCTTCTAGCTCTGAGAGAGACGTTATCCATGAACCTTCATCTTGCACTCTCCGGGATCAGCTCTTAAACACACTAGCTGGGCACATTTCAGAGATCTCTTTGTCCCCTCCCCCCCCATCTGTAACCAGGCTCTGCTGTTCCTGGAAGGCTCCCCTTTCACTCTTCACCTGTTGCTAGCTTACGTCAAGTTCAAGGTCTAGTTCAAACGCCACCCATTCAGGAAGCCTTCCGGGATCCCCATCTTGTTGAGTCTTCCTTCACACCAGCTTTCACACAAGGCCCTTCCTCTCCACTCACACAGCCACCACCCAGCTGCAAGCTCCAGCATGGACTATGGCTATAGCCGGCTGCTTGGCTCCCCCAGCCTCAAGTCTCTCCCCTTCGGTTCATCCTCAGCTCAGCTGTCGAAGTGATCCTCCTAAAGTCTGACCACATCACTCCCCTGCTCAGTGAACTCCAATGGCTCCCTATTACCCCACAATCAAAGAGAAAATCCTCTGTTTGGCACTCCCGAACTGGGCCTCCTCCCACCTTTCCAGCCTTCCCATTACATTTTAATGGTAATAGTAATAAAGGTAATAGTATTATTCCCCTTAATAAAAGGATTTGTTCTGTAAAAATTGGACTCAGTCAAAGGGCCACACTCGAGGACCTAGAAGGCCATATGTGGCCTCAAGGCCACAGGTTCCCCACCCCCAAAACCACCCAACACAGTGATCACAAGTGATAGCGCAGGCTACCTCCCACGTTCCTGGTCCTCTGTCTCTCCAATGAAATGAAGAACAGGAACGTTATTTTCGCAGCTATGTACATAAGGATGGATTGGAAAGAAAAGAGACTGGACAAGGGGAGCCAGTCAGTCCAGACGTGATATAATGAGAGCCTGTTCAAGGGTAGGAGCGCCATAATAAGAAAGGCATGATTAAATGCGACAGACATTGTGGTGGTCGAATCCACAAGACTCGAAGTGACTAGACATTGGGGAGGGCAGGGGTGGGGGGAGGACTCTGAGTGACTAGAAAACTGCTGGTGCCTTCAACAGAAACGGAGTTTAATGGGGGCAAGGTGAGGGTGGAGGTGAGATGAGGAGTTCCACCTTGGACATGCTGAGTTTGCAATGTCTACAGGAAGTACAGATGGAGATGATGAGCATTTGTTGTGGTCATCATGGGATGGTAATTTAAAAGAGTGATCAAGGCTGAATTTATAGATCTGAGAATATCTGGCATAGAGATAATAAAACGACCGAGAGAGAGAGAGAGAGAGAGAGAGAGAGAGAGAGAGAGAGAGAGAGAGAAGAAAGGTGCAGGGAAGAGTTCTAGTTTAGAGGTCAAGAGATGGACGATGATCCAGCAAAGGAGACTTCAAAAGGAATAGTCATACCAGTAGGAAAAAACCAGGAGAGCATTGTCCCAGACATCAAAGAAGGAAGGGAGGGTGGTGGCCAGTGGCCAAAGCCACAGAGAGGTCAAGGAGAATGAGGAATGAATAAGGACCATTCGTTTTAGCAAAGAAGAGCTCATCAGCAGTTTCAGTATAAGGGTCAGGAAGTGGGAGCGATGCATAGAGACAACTCTTTCTAGGAGTTTGGCCACAAATGGCCAAAGACCTATCAGATGGTAGGTTAAGGGGATGCTGGGAGAAATGGAAGATTTTGAAGGATGAAGGAGATATTGTAGGCAAAAGGGAAAGAGCTGGGGCAGCTAGGTGGCGCAGTGGATAGAGCACCGGCCCTGAAGTCAGGAGGACCTGAGTTCAAATCCGGCCTCAGACCAAACACTTGACACTTACTAGCTATGTGACCCTGGGCAAGTCACTTAACCCCAATTGCCTAAAAAAAAAAGATTTAAAAAAAAGAAAGGGAAAGAATTAGGGAGTAAGGAGGATTGAGGATAAGAGAATGGATACAATCCAGGGGTAAAGCTCTGGGAGGAAATGGAAGGGGATGGAATCTGAGCAGAAGTAGAGTGAGCAACCCTCACAGGAAGGAGGAGAGAATGGGGGATGCTCAAAAGGGGGGTTGAGGCCTGGAGTATGTGGCAAGAGGGAAAGCAGAGCACAAGTCCTCAATTTTTTTCCAGTAAAGTAGGAACTGAGGTCCTCAGTGGTGAAGAAGCAGTAGCGAGCCTTTGAAGAGAAGGCATTATGGGAAGTATCTTAGGCAACCAGGCAAGAGTCAACGAATACCCAACTGAGATTCGATAGCACAGACCTGTCACACTGTACACACTGTCGATGTTGGCAATAACTCAGTGCTGGGCTGAATGAATAACTCAGTGAATGGTGGACAGTTCGACTTGTCTGGCTGAGGAGAGGAAAGAGAGACAGGGAATGGAGGGGTGAGGATTGGGTTGGAAGAAGAGTAAATGGTCAGAATGAAGACAAATAATGGATGTAGGAGAAATGAGATGGAGAAAGAGATGGAAGAATAGAACATTATGATCAGAGGCCAGAATTTCAGAACTGAAGACTCTGGGGGCACATACTGGGCAAAGGCATGAGACGGAAAATGGCTGCTGCCTTTCTGTGTATCCTCAAGCTTGGCGCAGCACCTGTATATAGTAGGCACTTAGTAAATTCCTGTTGGCTGACTGACTGACTGACTGGCTGTGGGCAGCTGAAGTGGAGGGAAGATAGAGTTCATGGGAGTTGATGAACTGGGAAGCCAGAGTATCAAAGGGGGCTTCAAGGAGTGCCAGGGTATGAGGGCAGGGGCAGGGACACAGAAGAAGACTGTGAGCTAGGCACTGCACACCACGAGAACAGAGGGAAGCTGGCCTGGACGCCAGTTGATGCCAATGACCAGGGTCAGTACTGAGTGGCACAGATGGATGGAATGAACTTCAAAGGAGAGCCTGCTGAATGATGGTGGCAAAGGAGCAAGGAATGTAATAATAAGAACAACAATAACCATAGCTAACATTTCTATAGCGCTCAGTACTGTGCCAAGCACTTTACAAATATCTCATTTGCCCTCACAACCACCCTGGGTAGGTGCTGTCATTATCTCCATTTCAAAAATGGAGAAAGAGAGGCAAAGAGAGGTTAAATGACTTACGCGGGGTCACACAGCTACTAAGCGTCTGAGGCTGGATTTGAACTCCAGTCCTCCTGACTCCAGGCCCAGAGCTCCACACCACCTAGTTGCCACAATATGCCTACTTCTCACAGTCCCCCAGTGTACTAAGAATGTAGCCAAAGATGCAGTGTCTTCTGGAGACCACTGGGTTTCTGGTTTTGCCATAAGCTGGAAAGAACGTGAGACTAAGAGACTAAGAAAGGGAATTTGTTTACAAAGAAACAGGAGAGCAGAGGAGTATCTGGACTGTGAAAGGGTAGGGCTGAGGGAGAGAGAGATGATAGTACAGGAAAAGGCAGCCAGAGGAAGGGGTGTTGGCCCTTTGAGAGACAGCCACCTGAACCCACAGGGAAAAGGGAAGCATGAGCCGCCAGTTTGCCCCGTGCCCCTCCTAGTATTCCTGGGAGAAGAACCAGTCGGCTGAGCACAAGGCAACAGTATGAGGGAAAGTAATATTGGTTTCCATGGCTGCTCACCCCAAATGCAATGAATCTGCTGCGGCTACTACTACTACTACTACCACTACTACTACTACTACTACTACTACTACTACCACTACTACTACTACTACTACTACCACTACCACTACTACTACTACCACTACCACTACTACTACCACTACTACAACTGATGCCCTGAGGCTCAGGATGTCCTGAGGCTCAGGATGTCCTCTCCATGGCTTTTGTGAGCTCTCCATCACTAGGGGAGCTCAGGTCTTCCTGGCTTTGAGACCAGTTCTCTATCTCTATCCACTTCTAAAATGCCCACTCCATACTAGGCACTGAGCCTATAAAGAGAAACAGTGACAGGCCCCTGCTGTCAAGTGAAGGCTTAGGAAGCATTGTTCTGTGTCCCAGCTCACAGCATTCACTGTGGCAGCACCTGCTCCTACCACATCTAGCATTGAACATCTGAAGAAAATTCAGTATACACAAACACACTCACCAGGCCCATGCTTTAGGAGACAATTCTTCCCTTTATCCAAGGATTTACTGCAGGGTTTCTTTAAATGTCGAGCTCCCACGATGCACTGGAAATTGAGCTCCACTTACAAAAACCTGACTTGGCACCGCTTTTCCCAAACACACCTGTTGTATAAAGCAAGGCTCAACACTATTTGGGAAACAGATATTCAAGTTCTGGAGAAGCTAACAGCCAAGGAAGACAACAGCTCAAGGCTAGGTTGGTTTGGAGTGACTTGGGGATATCAGATCTGTAATATGAAAAACAAAAATTCCTTTCAAAAACCATTTATTGGAGGCAAGGATGATCCATCATTAGGCAAACAATCAACATAATCATATTCAAAAGCAAAACATCCAAAATTATATGAGCATCTCAACAGATGCAGAAAAAGCCTTGGAAGAAGTACAACGTTTTTATGCTAAAAACCCTACAAAGTATAGGCACAGAAGCATTTTTAACATCATAAGAAGCTTCTATCTAAAATCAAAAGCAAGCATCATATGCAATATGTAATAAATATGGGAGTGAGGCAAGGATGCCCATTCTCCCTGCTAGATAGTTCTAGAAATATTAGCAACAGCAATAAGACAAGAGAAAGAAAGAAAAGGCATAAAGAGAGGCAAAGAACTATCTCTGTTTGCTGATATGATACTTTTGGGAGGAGAAAGTGAGGCTGGTGACCTTGCACAGCCCTCCCTCACTCAAATCCAAGTCAATTGCAAGTCATGTCCTCATCTCCCTGATGTCATGGTCCTCTTCAAGAACGAAGGACAAACACAACCTGTGAGTAGTCCGAGCTGCCTGAATAGGGACCCAGCTGGCCAGTTCCAGTCGGGTAACTCAGCTCCTCTCCCCTCTCCTTCTCGCTGTCCCCCCTCCCCCTCCTCTCCCTCTCCCATGTGGGGTTTACTGGCTAGATTTCTTTCTCAAAGACCAAGCCTTAAACCCAATTCATTCTGGAACTCATTGATTGGACAACAATAGTTCCCTGCCCCAGCACCACTTCATGGTTATTTTTTGGGCCAGCCAGGCTCAGAGTGAATGTAAATAGTAATTGTTTCTCTTTTGGCCGGCAACCCTGAGGGTCTTCCCCTCCCAGTTTGAGTTTTTTTTTTCTTTTTTTGATTAAAGGGGCCATCTCTTGACTCACTTCTTAAAGAGGCCTATTCACTGAATGGGTGTTACCTCACTCAAAGTGAGAACCTGAAAAGACCTTTGCTTAAAAGGGCCAGGGTCTCCCACTGCATCCTGGGCCATCTCCAGTTGTCCTGATCTATATCTGGCCACTGGACCCAGATGGCTCTGGAGGAGAAAGTGAGGCTGGTGACCTTGTGCAGCCCTCCCTCACTCAAAACAAGGCCAATTGCAAGTAATGTCACCCTCTCCCTGATGTCGCGGTCCTCTTAGAGAAGGAAGGACAAACGCAACAATGATGCTTTAGCTGGAAAATCCTAGGGAATCAACAAAGATACTAAAAGAAACAATTAATAGCTTCAGCAAAGTTGCAGGCTAAAAAAAAAATCCTCAAAAATTTAAAAAATTTAAAAAATGACTTATCAGGAGCTTGGTAGAGGAGCACCGGGAAATACAAAGTGTGGATAACAGGTCCTGCCGATAAGGAGCTTTCCACCTAGTAGGGGGATCAGACCACAATCTTCAATGAATCAAATAACTGTAAGAAATTATATTCTATGAGAAATGCCTTAGAGACTTATAAAACACAAAGCACTGAGGGAGGTCTGAGGGAAAGGTCATTACTGAGCAGAGGGATAAGGGAAAACTTCCTGGAGGAGGAGGCATTTGAGTTGGGCTTTAAAGGACTGATAGGAACTCAGTGGGGAAAAAGAGGACATTTCGGGTATAGGGAACAGTGTGAGCAAAGTCCTGGAGGTGGGAGAACACGGGAGAGGGTGAACTTGACTGGTTGGTACATAAAGGAAAGTAACATGAGACAACACAAGAAAAAACAGAACAGCACCAGACTGGAGGGTAGTAGGGAACTGCTGAAGATTTTTGAGCAGAGGAATGCTGTGACCAGATTGGGGGAAAGGACCTGGCCAAGGTCACCCAGCTGGAGGCTAGAGCCTGAACTAGAATTCTCTTCGCTGCTTCCCTCTCCCTCTCTCTCTCAGGCTTATCTCTCCAAGGCCTAGGTTTCAGTCTTCTTTATATCCTCCCCCCACCCCCAACCCCCCACATACTGGAGGCTAAATAGATATGGGTAAGAAAGATCACTCTGACAATGGTTCAATGGCAGATTAGGGGCCAGATGGTAGAGCTAACTCAATCTCAAATTGTATTAAGGGAGTCCTGAACTAGGAAGGTAATAGTCCTGCTGTATTCTGCTTTTAGCCGACTACAGTTGGAGTACTTGGTTCAGTTCTGGGCTCTGCTAGCAAAGCCCTCTGCAAACAGCAATACTCGATAAATATTCTTTGAACTGAAGTTCCTATCTTATTTCTAGCCTGTGAGCTCTCCAGGAAAAAAGAATGGGTCTTATCCATTTCTGTCTTCTTACACACGTAGCTCCAGTGTCCAGTAAAGGCCTTGAAGTGTACAGCAAACCCTTCTGAATTACCTCGGTGCCTTATCTCTCCTACTAACTTTAGTTATTTAGTGAGTAAGGTCTTATTTACTCCTATCCGTGCCCCCCCCCCCAACAGAATAGGGGCTTAAGAGATATTTGGTGATTAACGACTATAACCAGGGCATTAGCACCCAGTACGTGGAGGATGGGGGGGGGACAGGAATACAAAGAAGACTCAAATCTAGGCCCTGGAGGGATAAGGCTGAGGGGGAGGGGAGGGAAGCAGCAGAGAGAATTCTAGTTCAGGCTCTGGCCTCTAGCTGTGTGGCCTTGGGCAGGTCCCTTCCCCTCTCTGGGTCTCAGTTCCCCTATTGATACAATGAAGAGTTTGGCCTGTTTTATTTTTAAAGTGCTTCCAAGATTCTGAGACTGTAAGTCACCCAATGAAAAGTCGATGACTGGCTCTGCCACTCTTGTGACCTTGGCGAAGGTGACCTTTTGAACTTTCCATCTTCGGGCCTCGCATGAGAGAGGGATGATGAGGCTAGAAGATCTTTAAGCAGCCTTTTTGCTTTGAGATCCTATGAATTTATAGCATTAGGGGACATTCAGGAAATCAGAGACGGCTTCCTGGAGGATATGGCAGCTAAGTCAGGGCCCTTAAGGACAGGAAGACATCTACGGGCTAGGGTTTAAGCAGTGAGAAGGCTAGAGGGTGGGCCCCAGGGAGATGGCGCTGACCCAGGTGCTGAGCCGGACCCAAGGGAAGAGTGTGCGCAGGCACAAAGACAATAGCGGTTGGGGCGGAGGGGTACCGGAGCAGGCGCAGGCGCAGGGGCCAATGGTCCCCGGAGGGGGCGCCGTGCCTGAACTGCAGACTCGGCCAGGCCCCAAGCTCGAGGATTCCACCCCGACCCGCCAAAGCCCCCCAGGGACCGCACGCACTCACTCACTCTCTTTCCCCTGCTCTGGAAGGCGACTGCGCATGCGGGAGGGCCGCGGGCCACCGGCCGCCAGGGTTGGCTGCGCGCCTCGCGTTGCATAGCAACGGGGGCGGGCCGGGAGCGGGATGGGGGGGGGCGAAGAGGTGGAGAGGAGGTAGAGGATGAGAGAGTGTGAACTGGTGGAGGGAAAGGCAGGGGGGCAGGGGGCAGAGAGGAGGGGGCGGAAAGAAGGGATCGACGAGGAGGAAACTTAGAGGAGGGCTTAGAAGGGAGGGGGAGAGGGCCGGGAAGGAGGCCAGATGAGTTTAAAACTACATCTCAAAAAAAACCCAAATGGCTCTGTGAGCCCTGATGTCTGTCATGAACCCCACCTCCTCAGGCGTCCAGGTTCCTGCAGAGTCACCTAGGCCTTCTTTTTCTCCCCAACCCCCTTTCCCTTTCCTTGGAAATCTCTTGCTCCAAGGTGTCTCCCCTCCACCTGGCCCCGTCCCCTAATCACCAGAGCCTAGCCCAGGCCAACCCAAACAGAAGCTGGGTAGAAGAGAATCAGAGAATTTGGAGCTGGAAAGGTCCCAGGCACATAAGGACCTCAGATTCCATCTCTGGAACAATTGTTCCCTGTCCATTGGGCATCCCCAGTGGGGATCCTTCATTTGAAGACCTCAAGGCCCAGGGATCCTGGTACCTGTCAAGGAAGCCCATTCCCTCAGGGATGCTACTCATTGGTGGGAAGTTTTTCCTGCCCTCAACTCCAAATCTGCCCCTCTTCACATTCCACTCACTGATCCTGGCTCAGCCTGCTGGGATCAATGAGAAAAAGTCTAATCCATCTTCTGTCTCACAGCTGTCTTCAGTGGTTTGAAGGGCACTCACCTTCCCCCTTCAGTCTTCTCTTCTCCAAGCTAAAACATCCCCATTTCCTGCTAGATCCTCCCATGGCCTTAGGCTGAGGTCCTTCACCCTCCTCCAGAAGCTCCAACTTCTCAATGTCCTCTGAACACAATGTGCTAAATGCGTTCTAACAAAGGGCAGAGTGTGGAGGAAGCTGTCTCTCTCGTTCTGCATAGCAGGCCTCTCAATGCAACCTACATAGAATGAGCTCCTTGGGGTTACCATGTCACACTGTCACCTCGTCTTGGGTTTGCAGCATGCCGACATGCCCAGGCCTTTGTCAGACACACAATTAGGGAGGTGAAACAGTTCAGCAGAAACAGCACTGACGAGTCAGAGATGACCTCTTCAATTTACTACCTGTGAGAATATGGTCAATTCATAACCTCCCTGGGCCTCAGTTTCCTCATCTGTAAAATGACAGGGTTGGATTAGGTGGCCTCTGAGGTCAGCTCGAGATCTGTGACTATTTGCACTTCTGAAGAAAGAGACTATGTCATCCAAGTCTTTCATTTTACAAATAAGGAAACTGAGGCCTAGAGAGGGGAAAGGATGTTTCCAGAATAGAAGAGATGTGACTAATAAGAGTTCAGCTGAAAAAGGTTTGCAAGTCTGTGCAGACTGGAAACTCAAGCTGAGTCAGCAGCATGATTTGGCAGCCCAAAAGCCAGGCAGAGTCAGATCTGGCACTGGCACTCAGGGCTCTCCTGAATCCGAAATTCAGCACACTTCGGGTTCCGACTTCACTGCTTCTCCTCTGAACAACTTTTAAAAGCCAATCAAACAGAATTCTGAGTGGGAAAACCAACAAAAAGTCACAGTGAGTCATTTTTCCAGCCCAAGGCAGCTTAAGAGGACAGACAGCTGTGAAGACACATCTGTGGGCCTTGGAGGAGGCACCAGGAGTGTCCAGCACCCAGGGATTGTAAGGGGCCTGAACACCTGGTCAGAAAGAGATTATAATAGAGCGGTGGATCAGTGGAGTAGGTTAAGTATGCAAGACACAGTAGTCAATGACTATAGTAATCTACTGTTTGATAAACCCCAAAAAATTTTTTGCCCAAACAAAGCCAATGCAACCAAGATTAGGAGGGAAGCAGAAAACTGGGATAGAATTTTTACAACTAGTATCTCTGATAAGGACTTCATTTCTAAAATATATAGTTAAATTTATAAGAATATAAGTCATTCCCCAATTGATAAATGGTCAAAGGATATGAACAGGCAGTTTTCATATGAAGAAATTAAAGGTATCTATAGTCATATAAAAATGCTCTAAATAACTGTTGATTAGAGAAATGCAAATCAAAATAACTCTGAGGTACCACATCACACCTATCAGATTGGCTAACACGACAAAACAGGAAAATGATAAATGTTGGAGACGATGAGGGAAAATTGGAACACTAATGCCTTGTTGGTGGAGTTGTGAACTGATTCAACCATTCTGGAAGAACAATTTAGAACTAGGCCCAAAGGGCTATCAAAATGTGCATACCCTTTGACCCAGCAATAGCACTTCTAGGGCTGTATCCCAAAGAGATCATAAAAATGGGAAAAGGACCCACATGTACAAAAATATTTATAGCAGCTCTTTCTGTGGTGGCAAAGAATTGGAAATTGAGGGGATGGCCATCCATTGGGGAATGGCTGAGCAAGTTGTGGTATATGAAATGGTGAGCAAGTGGACTTCAGAGAAACCTGGAAAGACTTGTATGGACTGATGCTGAGTGAAGTGAGCAGAATCAGGAGAACATTGTGCACAGTAACAGCCATGTTGTGCGATGACTAACGTTGATAGACTTAGCCCTTCTCAGCAATGCAAGGATCTAAGACATCTCCAAAGGCCTCATGATGGAAAATGCTGTCCACATCCAGAGAAAGAACTATGGAGTCTGAATGCAGATCGAAGCATACTATTTGCTCTTTTTTTTTCCTTCTGTTTTGTTTTGTTTCTTCCTTCTTGTGGTTCCTCCTGTTGGTTCTAATTCTTCCTTACAATGTGACTAATGTGAAAATACGTTTAATAGGAATGTATATGTATAGCCTATATCAGATTGCGTGCTGTCTCGGGGAGGAAGGGGGAGAAAATTTAAAACTCAAAAGCTTATGGGGGCAGCTACATGGTGCACTGGATAGATCTGTGGCTTTGGAGTCAGGAGGACCTGAGTTCAAATCTGGCCTCAGACATTTGACACTTACTAGCTGTGTGACGCTGGGCAAGTCACTTAAAAAAAAGGGAAAAAAAAGCTTATGGAAGTGAGTGTTGAAAACTAAAAATAAATTAATTTAATTTAAAAAAAGAAAGAGATTCTAGGGAACCCCTGTGCTAATACTAGGTGTAGGAGCAGGTGCCATCTGGCAGCTCCCTAGCCCATTACCCAGTTCTGGGTTAGAGTTCCAGGGCAGAGAAGAGGGGTTTCAGTAGAGAGGGAACAGGGGCCCTACCAGGGCCCTTAGACCAGAAGAGAAGAGATAGTATTTGTAATGTGCCTTAAACCAACAAGCGCCACCAAATGTTAGTGGTTATTCTTAGCGCTCCACCAGTTCACTGTGGGGAGTGAGTGAAATGGGGTTTGTAGGCCTTGCAAACCACACTGACCTGAGTCACCAGGACTTCCCTACATATTTTCAGCCATCTGAGCTAGAAGGAAGGGCTAGAGATTTGGAGTTAAGAGACCTGGGTTCAAGTCCAATCACGGACATTCCTAGGTGTCCTTGGGCAAGGCAGCAGCTTCTCCCTTAGTAACATGGTGGGGTTTGACTCCCCTATGTGACCATCCATAAGTCACTCAGCCTCTCTGGCCTCAATTTCCTCATCTGTAAAATGAGGTTAGATTAGATGCCAATTGAGGTCCCTTCCAGCTCTAAATCAGTGAAATCCCTTGTGACTCAGTGGTCCATAAGGCATTTCCTTGCTTTGAAAATCTGTGATCCTTTGAGGATTCAGCTCAATGTTCTCACAATCTAACCCCGCCACAGATAGAACACTGGGCTGAATGAGCTATTCTCTTCTCCCTCTTCTTATGTTCTCACTTATGACAAAGTAGGAGACCAAAAGGACCTAGGAGTATGAGGACTTACCCAATCAGACATGTTCCCATAATTCTCTGGCATCCCGTCCCCACAGAGGGCCGCCGGCTGGGCTCCAGCTGCCCCCATCTCCTCCCCTGTGAGAGATGTGGCCACATCCTTGAACTGACAATACAATTCCATAGCTCCATAGGTAGGGTGAGGAGCAGACAGGGTGCCAAGCAAGGGTGGGGGGGGGGCGGATTTCCCAGCTTCTCTGTGGCTATGGGGCTGAGGCAGAAACAGAAGAGGTACAATTCACCCAACGGCTGTTAACTGCAAACCAATTCAACGCCCAGTGCAGGTGAGCCAGAGTGCTGCTTAGGTTCTACTGGAAATGAATCCATACAGTTAGAATCCCAAGCTAACACCAGCATCGAGTTCCAGCTCTTCTGACAACTTCTTGAGTAATAATTCACTTACCGCCGTCCTCCCACTTGCTTAGATGACTGTCATAGCCTCACGGGCCTCCCTGGTTCCAGTGAGTGCTTCCTCCAACCTAGGGATCATAAACACCCCAAATAATCTTCCTTAACAGCAGCTTGTCTTCTGTGGCTCCCTACCATCTGAGTCAAGTTCAGATTCCTTTGCCTGGTATTCAAAGTCCTCCCCGATATGGGGGCTCTCTACTTTCACGCTTGCTTCATACGATCCCCACCCCCAATACACACATCACGCACGCTTTACTTCAGTTAAACTGGACTCCCCTCTGATCCCCAAACACACCCTTCACTCTTGCTGGCTCTTTGTGGTCACTCCTCTTTGCTATATGTTTACCAACTGGCCCTTTAATATATTCTAAACCTCTTTCAGGAATCAAAGTCAAGGTCACTGGTCTATCATGTAAGGATACAGACAACATTTTTTTCCCTAGTACTGGAGTACTTCAAACATTGTCGGCCATCTTTCAGAGATTTCTTGGTGGCTACTCAGCAATCACAGCCACCAGTTATTTTCAGTGCCCACCCTGACAGTGCGCTCCAACCTTTTGAGATGCTCTCTTATCAGCACAGAATGGCGGGGCAGAGACTCCCAACACGTGGATATTCACTGATTTAGAAATACTATAATGTGCTGCTGGCCCGATATCATATGCATCATGAAACACAAAAAGCAAATTTTAAAAGGAGGTAAAGTAAAGAGTCTTTTAAAAAATATTTATTTTATTGAATGGCACAAAACCCTTTATCTGGTGTCACTAATAATATTTTCGTTATTTAATCAAAGTTCCTGTGTATGTACTAGGGAATAGGGTGAAGTAATGATTGTTACAAAGGAATTATTGTTCATTTGATCACTGTAGCCAGCCTGGCAAGTGCATTTCCGCCTCCTCCCAAGGCCCACTTTGGAACGGCTCCCAGCGGGAGGACAATGGGCTTTCGAGCAATCCTGACCTTGGCTCTTTGGGGGCCGGATCATCATGTACCTGCCCGGGGTGACTGGCAGCTGGCACAAAAGCGGAGCAGAGTGTGGGGGTACAGGGAGCTCTCTTGTCATCGTCTGTTCTAGTTTAGACGTCAATTCTCCTTAGCAGAGAGCGTAGAAGAAAAAGAACAGCTGAGCTGACCTCCGACCTTCCTGTCATCCCTTACCTCAGGCCTGGCCTCCCCAAGCCATGGGCCTAATCCTTGACTGTCCCTTCTTCTGACTCAAATAGTGCCAAAAGCAAACAAGTGAACAACACAACACAGCACAGTACAAGACAACCCAGCACAACATAGAGCAATGCAACGTAGCACAATAAAACACAACGCTGCACAACACAACGAAGCACAAGACGGCGCAGCACAAAATATCACAACAGAGCACAACAAGGAACAACGTAACATAGCACAACATAACAAAATACAGCAAAGCATATCGTAACACAGCACAGCAAAGCACAACACAATGAATCACAACACCGTGCAGCACAACCCAAGATAACACAGTGCCGAATAGCACGTCACCTAGCACAACAAAACACAACTGTACAACACACAGCTAAACACAAGCAAGTGCAAGACAGCACATGTGGCACAAGATAGCACAACATAAAACAACACAGCACAACACAACAGAGCACAAAATAGCATGACACGACATGACACAGTACAGCCTAACAAGCACAACACAACAACACAGAACAAGAGCTAAACACAACAAAGTATGAGATAGCATAGTGCGAAATACCCCAAAACACCACGACAAACAGCACAGCAAAGCACAAGCATACCACAACAGATCACAACACAGCACAGCACAACCCAACCCAAGACAATATAGTACAAAACAGTATCATCCAACAAAACACAATATAGCATAACCCAGCTAAACACAACAAAGTACAACACAGCACAGCACAACCCAGTACATTACAATACAACATGACACAAGCCAGCTAAACGCAACACAGCACAGAACAACAGAACACGACCCAGATAACACAGCAAAGCAAAAAATAGTACAACACAACACAATAAGCACATCACAATATAGCACAACACAACACTGCACAACAGTTAAACAGAACAAAGCATAACCTAGCACAACCCAACACAAAACAATTCAATCCCGCGCAACAAAACCCAGCGCTTCACAACACAACCAGCACAGCACAGCACAACAATCACATTACAACCCAACCTAGCGTGGCACAAACCAAGCCAGCACAACACAGAACAATGCAACACAGCACAACAAAACAGCACTTCACAACACAACACAGCACACCAAACACAGCCCAACACAACAATCACATCATAACCAACATGGCATAGCACAACGAAGTACAACACAACCCAGCACAACAGAACATAGCGCTTCACAACACAACACAACAATCACAGAATAATCCAGAGCAACGCAACAAAGCACAACACAACATAGAACAATACGACACAGTATAACAAAACCCAGCACTTCACAACACAGCACAATACAACAATCACATCATAACCCAAGACAGCACAGTAAAACACAACCCAGCACAACAAAGCACAGCACAATACAGAACAATGCAGTACAGCACGACGCAACCCAGCACTGCACCACAAAACAAGACTACAGAGCATAGCACAATGCAACAGAGCACAAAAATAACATCACAACCCAGCACAACCCGACGGACCTTTCTTTTCACCCTCTCTTGCCTGCCTTTTCCTCCTTGCTGGCATTATCTCAGAATTTCCTTCCAGAAACTCCCCCCCCATCTCAGCTGACATTCTCTTGAGAATTCCCTTGACCTCTGACCTCCCCAAATCGAGGGGCCCTGTCAGCCTATGCCCCACTTTCCTCAGGGACCAGTCCCTCCCCTGCCCGAGTTTCCCATCATTTCTATCCTGGCTGGGGAGCAGCCCAATAGCAGCCCTTCCCCGGCTTGGTTTTTCTACCTTTTGAAAAATGAAATGATTATTAGGTTTGATGAAAGGAAAAACTCCCCAACACTTGAAGTTGTCCAGAAGTAAATTGGAGGGCTTCATCTTGTTACTCTCCTGCTCAAGGATCTTCAGTGGCTCCCTACCGACTCTAGGATAAAGTCTGGCATTTCAAGCCCGTCCCATTGTGGCTCTAGCCAATCCGACCCAGCTGATTCTGCTCTTCCCTGTCCTCAACTCTGTGTTCTATGGAGGCTGATAGGTGAACTAGAGCCACAACGGGAAGGGCTTGAAATACTGCCTCTGACGCTAGCTGTGTGACCCTGGGCAAGTCACTTCACTGCTGTCTGCCTCAGTTTCCTCATCTGTCAAACGGGGACAATAATAGCACCTCCCTCCCAGGGTTGTTGTAGGGACTAAATGAGATAAGAATCGTAAATTGCTTTGCAAACCTTATCACTCTGTAGAAACGTGAGCTATTATTTTTGTTTCAGCCAAGCCGACCTTTTGGCTGTTTCCCATATGCAACATTCTGGGCCGCTAGGTGGCGCCATAGTGCACAGAGTGCCAGGCCTGGAATCTGGAAGACTCCTCTTTCTGAGTTCAAATCCAGCCTCAGATACTTCCTAGCTGTGTGACCCTGGGCAAGTCACTTCACCCTGTTTGCCTCAGTTTCCTCATCTGTGAAATGGGGATAATAGTAAGAGCACCTACCTCTCAGGGTTGTTGTGAGGTTCAAATGAGACCAGCACCATGCCAGGTACATAGTAGGTGCTATATAAAGGCTTCTTCCCTTCTTCCCTTCTTCCCTTCCCCTATTAGCACTGATATTGTAGCTCCAGCAAAGTGAGGGAGGCAAGCCTATGGGGGCAGGGCAAGGCAGGCTCCCTTGGACTTCGGGGGCAGCAGCTTCCACAGCAGTTGGGGTAGAGGACAGGGGAGTCACCCTCAACTGGAACCTTGTTCGTATGAATCCAAGGCCAGTGAGGGCAGCTGGGTGGCACAGTGGATAGAGCACCGGGCCTGGAGTCAGGAAGACCTGAGTTCAAATGTGGCCTCAGACATTTACTAACCAGTCACTTCACTCTGTCTGCCTCAGTCTCCTTGTCTGTCAAATGAGCTGGAGCAGGAAATGGCAAGCCTCTCGAGTGTCTCTGCCAAGAAAACCCCAAATGGGGTCATGGGGAGTCGGATGTGACTGAAACAATGCAACATTCTGTTTCCTGATGCTCTGTCTTTGCGTGGGCTACCCTGTCCCCCCCATTCCTTGAATGTTGTCTCTCCTCACCTCCTCTTCTTGTATCTCTCTTCAAGGATCAGCTCCAGTATGATGGACAAGAAGCCTTTCCTGAGCCCCACCCACAGCTGTCGGCATTGGGGCCCAAGTGACTTTGTATTTACCTTGCCTCTCCTCATAGAGACCTTGCTTCTACTTATCTGTGTACATTCGGCATCTCCCGGTAGAACGGTCACTCTGAAGAGGTCAAGGATTCTGTTGTTTTCCATCTTTGTATCCTCAGGACCTGGCACACAGTTGGCGCTTGAATTGCAGCTTCTTAGGAAGGGTAATATCCTTACAGTCATGGTTGGACTTCTTGGCTTCTGGCGTCTCTTGTAATTCTTGGGCTTCTCTGTGACATGAAGGTCAAAAAGAAAGAGTCCTACCTTTGGAAGAAGAGGCCCCAGATCCCACCTCAGACCCTGACTAGCTGTGTGATCAGGTCATCTGACTTG